AATTCTCTTCCCCCGGAGAGTTAATTTAACTACATTTCTACTGCTGTTTCACTGGTTCATCTCTTGATATCAAGTTTGCTCGTGAATAATGACTTTAATATCTTTGGTCCATTGCACAATGGGGTGAATGCCTGAAAAATGCATAACTGGTGATCCTTTGCCCAGAGGTAGTTTACAGATCAGGTAGCAACAAAGGGAAATGTGGCTTTGGGGTGCCTTCCCAAGCGAATGTCTCCCATGTATGTTGGACTTCATGCCCCATAATACCCAGGCAGGGGATCATGGGTGTCCTAGTCAAACATATTGAGAAGGATAGGGTGGCTTAGAAGCGGGGAGGAGGCATTAAAATTTGGTGGCTGAGTTTAGCTTTGTGAGAAGTGTGAATTCTGTTTCTTTACGTAGGCATTTGCAGGAGGCCAAGAGAGGCAGATGACAACGTCATGATGTCATCATGCCCACATGCAAATTATGTACTTTGAGGGATGAAATCATTGTGGCTTGTACTGGATAACTTGTATTTCTTGGGTGGCTGGCTGTGGGCTCCTGAGCCTTGAGATCCAATATGGGCTCCACCACGGATGTCCAAACATCTCAGGAAGCATCAGATGGTGGGCACTGAGTGTTTCTGACCAGCAGATTCAGCTTAAAGACACTAGGAAGTTCTCCTGCACAACTGCACCCAAAAGGAAGTCTGGGAGTTTTCTTTATTTGACAAACATAATTTATTTATATTCAATATATGCTTAGCTTGACAAATCGTAAGTGTGACCTTCACAAACCTTCTATGCCCAAACAAAGAAAAAAACATATGGGTTTTCATAGGATGGCTCAATTCAGGCAATATGCTAAGACAAGGGCTTGGTTTATAGGATATGCTGAGTCACAAATACCCAACCCCACATTAGCCTAGCCCAGCATGTTTTGCAAATACAAAACCACTTTTAAGAACTCTGCCCACGTGAGAAGAGGGTCAGTGGAAGGTGGACACCTAGTTAAAAGCCAGCTGGTAGTTACAGCTAGTGCTGTATCATTCTGGAGGTGGTTCAGATTGGAGCAGTGTTTCTCAACCTCAGCAGCTTTAAGATGGGGGGGACTTCAACTCCCAGAAATCTGGACAAGACAGAAGTTTTCCTCTTCCTCTTCTCATTTCCCAAAACGTAAAAACAGAAGACACTAGACCGTTCTAGAGAGACCTGCGCTCAAAGACCGGCTGGGGTCACACATTGTGGTAGGCCTCCATTGGATGGATTCACCCATAAGATGTGAACTGTGATTTATGTATCCCAATGGCTGGTTCACACAATGTTAAACCAAAAATAAACCGTGTTAGGGCTTCTCAGGATTCTTGACTTCATCTGTAGCATTGTGTGAACCCAACCCCTGACTTGAATTCACAATTGTGTTAAAGCATGATTTGCTTGATTATGTTTTTGAATAAACCAGAGTTTGCTGGGTTCAGAGAACCTGTCAAGTGAAAACTAAGCAAACTACATTAGGGTTAGCAGGTAATGTGAATCAGGTCATTGGGGGTTATAAATCAGGATTAATAATAGTCCAGTGAATGAATGCAGCCAATGATGGCCTAACTAACACATAATTGTTCCAAATTAATGGCAGGCATAAGTGTTGAAGCTAAAATTATTGCATGCTTAAGAAAAGTCAAGTATTCAAAGACTATTGCTCATCCCCTTCCCTCTAAGATGGATTTCAAGGTAGGAACAGAATCTCCCTTACGTTCCTTCTTCCTCCTAACATGTAAACAAGGAAAATGTTTCCTTCCCATGAGATCCATATATACCCTTTGATTTTCCTACCCCACTGTGCTCTGATAAAGCAAGAACCTCTTCCAAGCAGGCAGAACAAGGCACGACTAGCCACTGAGCACCATACATTTTTTTTAGCATGACTTGAGTTATGCACACTCCCATATTTGGGCTGCATAACTCCAGATGACCACTAGAGGGCAGCAGGGCCATTTTATTTCTCCATCTTTTTGCTGCCATCTCGTTCTGGAGTTTTGCAGCCCAGAATATGGAAGGCTTAGTTATGCTCCAAACCCTCCCTGTTGCGCTGACTCAAGGAATGAGTCTCTTGCAATGTGGGTGGGTAGGTTAGTGATTGACTGATTGATTGATTGACTGATGTTGTTACCTTGCTTGTACTCATTGTTAGCCACCCAGAGTCATATTTTGAAGTGGGTGACTGTATAAGATGAATGAATGAAAGAATGAAATTCACCTCCTAGGAGCTGTCCTCAAGAAAAATTTCCCACTGCCTTTCACAACCTCCAGATTTCTTTATCAGGCCCTGCAGCCAGTGGACAAGATCCATAATTACTTGTCAGAAGTGTTACTCCCAGAGATTTGTGTGTGTGTGTGTGTGTGTAAGCATTGGTGGTGGGGGGAATACTCTCAAGAATATATCCAGTTTCATTGAACCTCTGTGCAGCCAGATCAGAAATACAGAGAGAAAAATAGATAATCATATTCCCAGATAATGAGCTTGAAAAACTGCTCTAATTATAAAGAGATAATGCCATCTCTAATTGAGGAGTGTTTGGCCACTGGGGAGAGATCAGGTCTTCAAATGCTGTCCCAATGTCTTCTCTCATTGGCCTGTTGTTCATAATGAGCTTCTGTGCTTGAGAGACAAAAGGGAACTTTTTTCTTTACCCTTCCAAGATATAGTTTAGATCAAGGTTTCTCAACCTGGGCCACTTTAAGATGTGTGGACTTCAACTCCCAGAATGCCCCAGCCCACGCATGCGCGCGAGTGTGTATGTTTACTTAGAAAATTATTTTGGATTCTGACTTCTACAAGCAGCAGAACATTAATAGAGGTGGAATAGGATCTGTTGCTGTTGGAAGAAAACCCTTGGCACAGGCCACGAGGGCTGGAAAATAAGTTTATAAGATGAACCCCCCCCCCCCATGACTTGCAGGCTGGATTCACATGACACATCAACAAGTAAGATGGTTTGTTTCTTAATGGCTTAATAAGTGTTTTGTGAACACATCCAGAGTTTGTCCTTTAGTGTGTTATGTGAAACCAGTTAATTCTGGCTTATTCAAAAAACGATGATTAAGCAAATCATGGCTTTGGGAGATATGAAAGCACAGATGCCAGTCTTCATATTTATGTTTATTTATTTGCTAAGCTCCAGACAGTGTAGTGTCTGAGTATCAAACATACTTAATAGCAATCAGATTAAATGAAACATAAAATAAAAACCAAAATGATTAAGAAATGATTCATATACAGACCTTCATAGGCTACAATCTGGAACAAAATAGATCTCCTAAATACTAAGGTTACCAATGGTAGGCTTAAACTCCACTCCAATCATGTATTTATTTTTCCATGTATTGAAATGGCTGTCATTTGAGAAAAAACAGATTTTTTCCTTATTTGGAAACCACACTGTACTGTACTCTGTGTGTGTGTGTGTGTGTATGTATGAGGGAACTACCCCCTTGACAATGACATGGTTGATTCATCATGATAAGCCATGGCTTGTTTATTAGCCATGGCTTCTAACTATGGTTTCCAGAGTAAGCCACAATGGCCAGGATTCATACATTGCACGAGGCTCAGGGTTGGGCGGCACGTCTCCTGCTTGTCCTGCCCCACACCCCATTTATGGCCCTCAAAGCCACCTGGGAGTGACCTGTCAAAATATTACGGCCAAAGAGAGCTTTTGGGGCAGCCCAATTTCCAGCTGCGGAAATGGGAAAATAAACTCAGGGCGTGCGAGCGCTCCGTGCGGCGAACTGTTCCCGTTGCTGCTTTTTAATCCCCAAACCACCCAAACGACAGCCAACATTTTGGTCCTGCCCCTTTCTGTGCTAAGACTCAAATGGCTGTGATGTCTAATAGCAGCTGGAGAAAAAAATAAAATAACGTGGGCAGGAGCATGGCCAGAATAGGACTCTTGGAAATGTATAAAGCTTTCCCCTTTCATCGGGGTGAAGAATGTGACCGCTGCAGCGACCCACAAAGAAGATCCTGAACCGCATCTTGCACGCCGAAGTTTCTCTCCCAGCAATATCCAGCATGACGCTCCGTTCCCCTGTCTGACCAGCTGCAGAAATAGCAAAGAGAAGTGGCTTTGATTGAGGATTAAGATCAAACCCTGGGACGAGATACAACGTAGCACCACCAACACCGGTTCTTTTTTGTGAATGGAGCCTCTTTGCTTGCACGAAGTTGAAGATAGGGGGGTCCGAAGTCACTTTTTCAAGAAAACCGCATCAGAAAAGAGCCTCTAGGCATTGGCAGAAGTCCTTTCAGGAGCAGAGGCTATAACTTCCCTCCCGACCCCCAAATTTCTACCTCCCTGGCTCATTGCTCTTTTCTGAGGAATGAAGTTCAGTCAGTCTTCCCCCTCCCCGCAAAGCAGAGATGATAGCTCCCAGCTCCCATAATGGCGGGCCAGGGAATTGTGGGCGTTGAAGTCCTGCATGTTCTGGACGGGTCCCGGTTGGGAAAACGAGGCGCGAGGAGAGCCCGGCGGAACCCAAGTGCGCCAGGAGCGCGAGCGGGAGGGAAGGAAAGGCTGAGACTCCCGTCGCCGCTTGGCGGTCCCCGTGGCAACGCGAGCGGCCTGCGCCGGGCGGTGCGGCGGGCCGGAGGGGGGAAGGACACCCCAACATTTTTTTT